CGTCCAACATGACTGGTGTTCTTTCACTTTACCCCATGTCTCCGGTTTAGCTTTTTTTTTTTTTGGTCAGTTGTGGGGCTTGAAATCCAGGGCCTGGGCACTGTCCTTGAGCCTCTTTGTGCTCAAGGTTAGTCCTTTCTGCTTGAGCCACAGCGCTACTTCCAGTTTTTGAGTCTCATGGGGACTTTTCTACTGGGGCTGGCTTTGAACTTTGATCCTCAGATCTCAGTATCCTGAGGAGCTAGGGTTATAGCCATGAGCCATTGATGCCAGGCTCAATTTTTTTTTGGGGGGGGGGGGCGGGGTCATGGTCACTTCCGGTTTTTAGTGGTTAATTGAACATAAGAGTCTCGAGGACTTTGCTTCCTGGGCTGGCTTTGAACTGCAATTCTCAGATCTCAGCCTTCTGAGTAGCTAGGATTATAGGGATGAGCATCTGATACCCTGCTTCAGTTTGGCTTTTTTTTTTTTTTTGTCAGTTGTGGGGTCTGGGAACTGGGAACTCTGGGACTGGGTGCTGTCCCTCAGCTCCTCAGCTCAAGGCTAGCCCTCTACCATTGAGCTACAAAACCACTTCCAGCTTTATCTGCTTATGTGGTGCTGAGAAATCAAACCCAGGGCCTCATGCTTGCAAGGCAAGCGCTCTACCATTGAGCCACCTTCCCAGCCCCATGTTTTTTTTATAATATCAGTTTTATCAGGTTTTTTTTTAACATGCCTATTGACATATACAATGTATCTGCATCATGTGTCATTCTCCTTCCTCCCTCTGGACCCTTCTTTTTTTTTTTTTTTTTGAGGGGTCCGGTTGTGGGGCCTGAACTCTGGGCCTGAGTGCTGTCCCTCAGCTCTTCAGCTCAAGGCTAGTGCTCTACCACTTGAGCCACAGCACCACTTCTGGCTTTTTTCTTTCTGCTTATGTGGTGCTGAGGAATTGAACCCAGGGCCACAGGCATGAAAGGCAAGCGCTCTACCACTGAGCCACCTTCCCAGCCCCCTCTAGACCCTTCTTAAATCCAGTGTCCTTTCTAGTTTCACACATGCACATTAAGTACTTTGATTATACTCACTCTCCTTTCTCCTCTATGTTCGTCTGACCCCTTCCACAAGTACTTGTACTGCAGACATGTTTCAACTTCCTGATGTTCTTTTCACTTCATGTTAATTGTTAAAAAGGGTTTTTTTTTTTTTTAACCATATCTCACATCTGCAAATACCATGTTTTAATTGAATACATAATACTGTTTACATGTAATTTAGGTCTAACAACCAGATTATGAGAGAGAACAAACTTTGTTCTTCAGAGCCTGGCTTGCTTCACTTTATTATTATGCTTTCTAGATCCATCCATTTTTCTGCAAATGACATAATTTCATTCTTCTTAATGGCTGAATAATACTCCATGGTGTGTGTATATACATACACATACCACATTTTCTTGACCCATTCATTGTTTGGTTGGTTCTGGGCTATTTCCATAGCTTGGTTGTTGTGAATAGTGGCACAACAAACATGTGTGTCCAGGTGTCACTATTATATCCCCCCCCAAAGTGCTATTATTGGTGGGTGAGTTGTACTCTTTAGTGACATGGGTAGTTCTATCTTTATTGTTCTGAGGTGACCTCAACTAGTTTCTACAGTGGTTGCACTAGTTCACAGGGGCCCCAACAGTGTATTGGAGTTCCTTTTCCCCCATATCCTTGCCTATGATTGTTGGGTCTTTTGTTTTTGATGGTAGCCATTCTGACTGCAATGGATAAAATTCAGTGTTGTGGGGCTGGGAAGGTGGCTCAGTGGTAGAGTGCTTGCCTTGCATGCATGAGGCCCTGGGTTCGATTCCTCAGTACCACATAAGCTGGAATGTGGTACTAGAATGCTGGAAGTGGTGTCTGTGGCTCAAATGATGGAACGCTAGCCTTGAGCTGGGCCTGGCTGTCCCAGGCCCAGATTTCAGGCAGGCCCCAGTATCAACACACACACACACACACACACACACAAAAGTCAATGTTGTTTTAATTTTTACTTCATATATAGCCAGGTACTTGGGCATGTCTTCATGTATTTGTTGGCCATTTGTAACTCTTTCAAGACGTGTCTGTTTAGCTCTATTGCCCATTTATTAATTGGGCCATTTCTTTGGGAGTTTAATATTTTGAGCTTCTAATATATTCTGGTTATTAGTCCCTTGTCAGATATGTAGTTGGCAAAGATTTTCTACTATTCTGCAGGCTGTCTTTTCAGTCTAGCGACTGCATCCTTTGCAGAGCTTTTTAGCTTGGTGCGATCACATTTGTCAATCCCCATTCCTATTTGCCAAGCTACAAGAGTTTATTCTTCAAGTTACTGTCTGTACCTATAAGTTCTAGTGTTTCCCTTATTCTCTTTTGTAAAAGTTTCAAAGTTTCAGGTTTTACACTTTGAATTGATATTGGTACAGGATAAAGAATAGTCTATTGTGTAAGAATATCCAATTTTTCCCAGCATCATTTGTTGAAGAATCTTTTTTTGAACATATATTTTGGGGTCCTTTGTTAAAAATCAGATAGCTGTAGGTATAGGTTCATTTTTGAGTCTTCTGATCTGTTTGAATTTTCAGGTCTGTTTCTAGATCAGTATCATGATTACTATAGTATCATGGTTACTATAGCTCTAAAGTATAAATTCTGATAATGTGATAGCTCCAGCATTACTCTTTTTGTTCAACTGGTGTTGGTTGTTCTGGAAATTGAGTCTCTTGAATTACATGGCTGGAATGTCTTTAAACCAAGATCTTCTGCTATCAGCTTCCCAAGTAGCTAGTAGTAAAAGGTATAAGTCACTGGTGTCCAGCTTACTTGAAAGATTTCTTTTTGTTTTTGGTCCAGTCGTGGGGCCTGAACTCTGGGCCTGGGCGCTGTCCCTTAGCTCTTCAGCTCAAGGCTAGCACTCTACCACTTGAGCCACAGCACCACTTCCAGCTTTTTTTTTTTCTGCTTATGTGGTGCTGAGGAATCGAACCCAGGGCCTCATGCATGCAAGGCAAGCGCTCTACCACTTAGCCAACTTCCCAGCCCTACTTGAAAGATTTCTAAATGACTATTTTTAGTCTATCTGCTCGTTTTCATTTTGTTACTCACTATATCTGTGTTTCCACTCACTGATAGGTTATCTTGTTTGACTTTTATGTTCTTCTTTTCACCTTTCTTCCTATTATAAATTTTCCTCTATTAGGTTTAAGATCCTTTCATCCACTAACCTAGCAAAATTCTCTCTCTAATACAACTGCTGAACATTTCTATTCCTATATGCAGGCTGCAGGAAAATGAATACACAACTGCATTGGCTGGTGGCATTAGTATTTCATGCTCTACATTCTCCTCTGGTCCCTCAAGGCTTCCCAGAAATTGTTTTCTGTTTCTTTCATCTGTTCAATTTTCTTTTCTCATTATAGAAGCTTCTTCAAATTTTCTTTCTCCATAGAAGTCAGTCTTACCACTTATGTTTTATTAAAAAAAAAAAAGCCAAGGCTATGTCAACAACTGCTCAGCTTTTTGTCACTAATTTGCAAGTATAAGCATAAAATAACCATCTACCACCCTTTCCTCTAGATACAAAAGAGTAGCTATCTAGCCTGTGGTATGCTAGTACTTCCACCTGAGTTCCAAAGACAATTCCTCTTCTCCAGAATTTCCACTTATTCGTGCTTCCTTTCTCTTATATTTTCTTTCTTTCTTTTTTTTTTTTTTCTGGGTCCGGTCGTCGGGCCTGAACTCTGGGCCTGAGTGTTGTCCCTTAGCTCTTCAGCTCAAGGCTAGCGCTCTACCACTTGAGCCACAGCGCCACTTCCGGCTTTTTCCTTTCTTTCTTTCTTTCTTTTTTTTTTATTTTTTTTTTGGGTCCGGTCTTGGGGCCTGAACTCTGGGCCTGGGCGCTGTCCCTCAGCTCTTCAGCTCAAGGCTAGCGCTCTACCACTTGAGCCACAGCGCCACTTCCGGCTTTTTTCTTTTTGCTTATGTGGTGCTGAGGAATCGAACCCAGGGCCTCAGGCATGCAAGGCAAGCGCTCTACCACTGAGCCACCTTCCCAGCCCCAATTCTCTTATATTTTCATCTCTCCCTCTGAGACAAGAAACATGCTCTGCCTCCTTATCAAAACAAAACCAATATTTCTTCAGCTTTATGCCTCTACCCTGAGCTCCTACCTTCTTCTTCCTCTGTACATGACAAGATACCTTAGAAAGTGTGCACTTAATTTTCTCAGGGTCCACTCATTTCTCAAAGTTCTACAGTGTAGCTTCAGATCCCTTCCCCTCATTCACCTGTATTTTCTAAAGAGCCCAGCACTTCTGCTCCTAAATCTAATGGACCTAGCTTACCCCATCCCTTAGTTTACTTGATTTTTTATATATTTGGTAACTCTGTTCTTTAAAACGGATCTCTTGATATCATTCTCCTGGTTTTCCTCTATTCTCTGTTTCCTGATTTTTTTTTTTTTGTTGTTGTTGGTCATGGGGCTTGAACCCCCGGCCTGGGCGCTGTCCCTCAGCTCTTCAGCTCAAGGCTACGCTCTACCACTTGAGCCACAGCACCCCACTTCCAGTTTTCTGGTGGTTTATTGGAGATCAGAATCTCATGGACTTTCCTGCCAGGGCTGGCAGGATGCTCAGATCTCAGCCTCCTGAGTAGGTGTGATTACAGGCGTGAGCCACTGGCGCCTGACTTCCTTATATACTGGTATTCCTCTGGATTCTTTCTGTGGTCTTTTCATCTTTATTCTTTAGATTTATGTCTCACCTTTTCACCTATTACTATACCTCATTCTCCCTCTATTAAAACATTGGTGTTTTAGTAGCTTAACTGCTCAAAAAGTTTTGAGAAATTTGTTTTTTACTTAAATGGATATTTTATTGTGTTTTGAACCACCTAATAAATAACAAGGTGTAAATCTCATGGTAATTCCATAATAATACTTTTAATTAAATAAAACACATAACTAGAAATTGAACAACAAATGCTACTTACCTTTATCACCAAGGTCTCTAAAAAAAGTTGATCCACAACTAGCTGTTTGGATTCCTGCCAGTACATCGTCAATATCCTTTGAATACACAAATTAAGTCTTTCAATTTATTTGTTTTTTTAAAGTTATTTGTACTGTTCTACAGAATGGAACTCAGTGTCTCATCCTTGTGTTAGCTATTTTCTTTATTACTTGACTGTGCCTCCAGCCTCCCCCCACTTTTTTGCCAGTTCTGGGGCTTGAACTCAGGTCCTGAGCACTGTCCCTGATCTTCTTTTGCTCAAGGCTAGTGCTCTACCACTTGAGCCACAGCAGCATTTTCAGCTTTTTCTGCTTATGTGGAAGTGAGGAATTGAACCCAGGGATTCATACATGCTAGGCAAGCACTCTACCACTAAGCCATATCCCCAGCCCAAGTCTTTCAATTTAAATGAACAAGTTCAGATTCTGTCTTACCCAAATAAACAAACAACAACAAAAATCACACATGCTGCTTACCTTTTTTGCTAGCTTTTTGACTAAAGTTTTACCTGTAGCAAAAGAAGAAATGCTATTTAGTACCCATATTCTTTGACAAAACTCAACTAGAACTAAGGAAGAAAAACATTTATAAGACAAACACTAAAAATTTATAAAAAGTAGAGTTTCACTCTGGGCATTTATAATCCTAACTACTCAGGAGGCTGAGATCTGAGGATCTCGTTTCAAAGCAAGCCTAGGCAGGAAAGTCCATGAGACTCTTCTCTACAATTAAGCGACAAATAGCCAGAAGTGGCACTATGGTTCAAAGTAGTAGAGTGCTAGCCTTGAGCACAAAATACAGGGACAGTATCCAGGCCCTGAATTCAAGCCCCAGGACTGGCAAAAACAAACTAACAAACAAAAAACCCCAAACCAAAACCAAAACCAAAACCCCAAAGCTCCCTAAAACTCAAACAAACAGTAAAGGTTTGACTAAAGTAAAATCATGAGCCAAAGAATTCTAAATCTAAATACAAGGATTCTGTGCTTTTTATTTATTGAATTGAATTGAATTTTTTTGTTGGTTGTGGGGCTTGAACTCTGAGGGTTGGGTGCTGTTCCTCAGATCTTCAGCTCAAGCCTAGCACTCTACCAATTGAGCCACAGCGCCACTACTGGTGAGTGGTTTATTGGAGCTAAGAGTCTCACGACTTTCTTGCTTCGGCTGGCTTTGAACCATGATCCTCAGATCTCAGGCTCCTGAGTAGCTAGAATTATAGGCATGAGCCACGGGTGCCCAGTCTTTTTTAATTCTTTTAAACAGGATCTATTTTCTACCTCAATCTGTTTCAGGATATGAAATCTAATAATCCCCTTTGGTTTATCTTAGTTGTCTGTATCATATACATTTTTTAAAAAAGGAATGTTTTTAGAAGTGCATTTTCTATAGTCTGGACTGATTAATCCAGGCTAAAAATCTACCAGGTACAATTTCTTCCTTCCTTCCTTCCTTCTTTCCTTCCTTCCTCCCTCCCTCCTTTCCTCTCTCCCTTCCTCCCTTCCTTCCTTTTTTCTGTGGTAGGACTTGAAATCAGGGCCTGAGGAGTCCCTGGTTCTTTTTACTCAAGGCTAGTGCTCTATCATTTTGAACCACAGTGCCACTTCCAGTTTTCTGGTGGGTAATTGGAGATGAGAGTCTTACACACTTTCTCACCTGGGTTGGCTTTGAACTGTGATCCTCAGATCTCAGCCTCCCAAATAGCTAGGATTACAGTCATGAGCCACTATGAACAATTTCTAGTGTTTGTTGTTCATAAATTGTTAAGATTTTTGTTTTCATCCTAAGTGAAAAATGAGTACAGATGTCACTACAGAGTTTTTAGAAACATCTAGGATGTAAACTTAGGTGTCAGGAGTTGTAGATTTTGTTTGTTTTTGGTGGTACCAGGGTTTGAATTTAGGACCTTGCAAGGGAGGAACAATCACTTGAGCCATACTCCAACCCTTTCTGTTTCATAAACTTTGAATAGGGTCTCTCATTTATGCTCCAGTATCTGGGCTTACAGGTATGCACCTGCATTTACATAGATTTTTTTTTAGACTTGAAGGATGTAATTATTTTTTTTTTACTTTTTAACTAGGAAAATTAATGTTAATTTATAGCACTAGAAGTTTTCTCATGTTTTCTAGACATCCTAACAATACTATGAGGCAGATACTAATAATTTTATAATTCTAGGAGACAGGAGAGTTAAGATTAACTCACCAAACATCTTTTTCTCTCATCCACTACCTAATGACAATAATCCTATTATTTATCCCACCTTAACAAAACCTTTCTTCATCATTCTTCACCTCTACCTATTGCTTCTCATCTCTTCTTTTCTTCATGTAAAATATCTCAAAGACTACTTATTATTTTTTCCATTTTCCCATATTTTCCTTAAATCTACTACACAGGCAGGCTTTCACTTTTATATCACACCACCAAAATGGTTCTTGGAGAGGTCACTGATATCTTACTGGAATTTCATGACAGCTTGCATTCCTAGTTTCCTCCTATCTTTTTAGCTGTTCCTTTTCCTTGTGGGACCTCAACTCTCCAACCTCAATGTGCTGTTATACCTCATGACTCAGTCCTTCACTTCTTTTTTTTTTTTCTTCTATCTACAATCAGTTTTGAGACCTGAAGTATCTTACCTTTACACAGCAATTTTACTCTGAAGACTCTTAAATTTACATCTCTATAGAAAATGTGAGAAATTTTCAGGATAGCAAAAATATAAGACTATTTGTATTTTAAGGCAGAGAAAAAAAGAATGACAGGACCAGAGGAGAGGGTGGCAGGACTAGTCACAGAAGGGTGAGGTGAATGGCTTCAAATTAAAAAGGATAGGAAAATCAGATAGGCTCTTAGGTAGTATGGAAGGGATATGAAGGATATGTTCAAAGCCAGCCCAGGAAGGAAAGTCCATGAGATTTTTATCTCCAATTAACCACACACACACACACACACACACACACACACACACACACACACACACACACACACACACACACACACACACACACACACACACACACACACACACACACACACACACACACACACAAAGCTGGAAGTGGAGCTGGGTGGTAAAATACAGCTTCGAGCAAAAAAGCTCAGAGACAACACCCAGGCCCTGAATTCAAGCACAAGACACACATACAGATACACATGGACAAACAGATACACATACAAGATAAAATCATATCATTTAAAATGATATCCTTTAAAAAGTGAAGGGGCTGGGAAGGTGGTTCAGTGGTTGAGTGCTTGCCTCACATGCATGAGGTCCTGGGTTCGATTCCTTAGCACCACATGAGCAGAAAAACCTGGAAGTGGCACTGTGGCTCAAGTGGTAGAGCGCTAGCCTTGAGCTGAAGAGCTGAGGGACAGAGCCCAGGCCCAGAGTTCAGGCCTCACGACTGACCCAAAAAAAAAAAAATAAAAAAAGTGAAGGAAGGATGTAATATAATGTTTAAAAAAGGAGCAAAAGTTTGGAAGAGCTCATGAAGGAGATGGAAGAGAGCTCAGTGTTAAGTGAATGTACTTGGAGAATCTAGCTGGGGTTAAAGACAATGAATTTGGTGGTTCCAATCTGCATAGTCCTTTGATTTCTCCAGCAGTTCCCAGTAGGCTAAGTTCAACAAGAAAGACAAACAGGGAAGATCTGCAAGGCATTATCAGAGCAACAAAATGACAAGACTTGTAGCTATAGCAAAGGAAGAAGATCCAGGAGTAGAGCCTGGGAATTATAGAATAGTTGAGACTAGAACCAGTTATCAGGTCAGAGAACAGACATTCTGGATACATTATGAAGAATGGGATGGTAAAGAAGAATGCTAGTGCATGGGGTTCTGAAATCTGCGATTTAAATACTGGAGCAATTCCTGGTTGTTAGCATGTCTTCCCCCATCTTGGTTTGACTGCCTCTATCTAAGGTCCTCTGTCCTTTCCCCGAAATTGGGTGACCAGGCCGGGCTTGGCCACAATTGTTAGCCCCCACCCCATTCCCGAAACTACAGGTATCTCTAGCTTCCTCTAGCATCAGTGGAATGCTGTCCACTCAGGTCTGTCCAGCTGCACTTCCCGACTTTCAGCGAAAATTCCCTCCCTCAGCCTCCCTGTCCTGCCTTGAGCTTCCCTGGCACTATACAATTAAACTTCCTTCTCAAGGACAGGCTACTATTCTCTATCCTGAGCTAGCTAGCCTGTCAGCTCCTGCTGACAATAAAACCCAATGGTTCTCAGGGCTGGTGCTTTCACAGGAAATGGAGATGGGATATGAATGATAAAAATGAAAGGCAATAGGAGTAAGAACTGAAAAATAGGGCTGGAGTCTAATTCCCATTTTCTGCATGGGGGATCAGGAAATGTTTTTCTCTTTCTTTTCCTCTACCATACTAAAATAAATCCTTGCCAAAATTCCCAACAAAAACTTCCAAAACAACAACAACAAAGGAATGACAAGTAGAGAAGAGTTGAAGGGAAACAGTATTTTGGTTAGAGCACAGAGGAGGATCCCCAACCCCAAGGAGGAACCAGGGAAAGGAATAGCCAGGATCACCTGAAATGACCATGAAGCAATGGTTTACATAAGTCCTACCAACTGCTATTAATGAAGGGTATCATTTACAAAAAGCCAAAAAGATAAATAACAGGTAAATATGAGGTTAAAATTTAGTAAGTCTTAGATTGTTTTTTTTTTAAATCTTTCTGTTTACACACAAGAGACTATGGGTCAGTGGGTTGGCCCAGTTTCTCCTAGTTCTGTCGTTATTCTTGATCCTCAGGAATGCACCCAAGATTCTTCTTCTTCTTATCCATGATGAAGGACATCATATGCATAAAGGATGCATTATTGGGCCTTCAAAATTACTGAATTCTTGATTTGGTTAAATGCCTTCTGATGGAGTTTAATTGCATTCCAATGAATAATAAAAGTGGAGATGTTATAATCTTTAATCATGGTTTAATTCTTCTAATATATTTATGGTGGTTATTCTGAAGTCTTTTTGTGCTAAATCTGGTATCTGGTTGCAGTCACAGTTTACCCACTGGGGTAATTTTTCTTGTTTCTTTGCCTGTCTTAAACATTTAGTTGGAAAGTAAACATTTTAGATAATATTCTATAGCAAATTGGGGTACTAATTCTCTCTTCTCCTAGGGCCTATTTTTGTTATTTGCTTGTTTGCTTATTTATTTATTTATGCCAGAACTCGGGCTTGAACTCAGGGCCTGGGTGTTGTCCTTTAGCATTTTCACTCAGGTTGGTGCTATACTACTTGAATCATAGCTCCATTTCCAGCTTTTTGCTGGTTAATTGGAGATAGGAGTTACATAGAGTTTCCTGCCATGGCTGGCTTCAAACTGGGTTCCTAAGACCTCAAGCTCCAGAATAGCTAGGATTATAGCTTGAGCTCAGATGTTTGTTGAGGAACTTGTTTTTTTTTGACAGTCGTGGGGCTTGAACTCAGGACCTGGGGCTTGAACTCACGGCCTGGGCTGTCCCTGAACCTCTTTTGCTCAAGGCTAGCACTCTACCCGCCACAGCACCACTTCTGGCTTTTTCTGCTTATGTGGTACTGAGGAATTGAACACAGGGCCTCACTCTACCGCTAAACCACATTCACAGCCTCCTCAGATGTTTCTTAATTTGTAGTAACTACATACTAGGGACCATCATCAGAGGCGTTAAATGATTTATTTACTTATTACTTTTAGTGGGCAGTAGATTTATAGAGCTGCTCACACTTCCATGATAAAAATGATTCTCCTGAAGTTTGTTCACTTTTATTAAGTAAAATTCTATGGTGTGAACACACTAACACTTAGTCATCTTCTTACTAATGGAAATTTGAATTGTTTCCAGCTTTTCTGCTAGCCTAACACTGTTGCCATGGGTGTTCTTATATATACATCCTAGTGCACACAGGCAGTGGTCCTGTTGGGATACATACACTCTATGTATATATATGCCTAAGAATGGGAATGGAGGTCAAAAGCTGTGCTAATCTCTAACTTTACAAAGTAATTCAAATTGTTCTCCATAGTAGTAGTTTCAATTTTTATTATTTATTTATTTACTTATTTATTTATGTGCTAGTTCTGGGGCTTGAACTCAGGCCAGGGCACTGCCCCTGCTAGCTCAAGGCTAGCACTGTATCACTTGAGCCACAGCTCCATTTCCAGCTTTTTTGGTAGTTTAGTAGAGATAAGAGTCTCACAGACTTTCCTGCCCAGGCTGGCTTTGAATTGTGATTCTTAGATCTCAGCCTCCTGAATAGCTAGGTTGACAGTCATGAACCACCAGTGCCTGGCAGTAGTTTCAATTTTTTTTTCCCCTCAGAGCTGAGGATTGAACTGAGGGCCTTGAACTTGCCAGGCAAATGCTCTTCTACTGAGCTAAATCACCAACCCCAGTAGTTTCAATTTTTATTTCCAATCAAGGCTATATAAAAGTCCATATGACCTACATCTCTAGTGATCTACATTCTCTTCAACCTTTGTTTGCTGCAAATCTAATAGATATAAAATTATCTTACTGTAGTTACTAACAAGGGTACACATGTTCATGTTTACACTGTTGATGGTTATTTCTGTACATTTTCTTAAGCTCACACACACACACACACACACACACACACACACACACACACACACACCAACACACACCTATCTTCTATCTTTCTCCATCCTCCATAGTTCATATGTGGTTCCTTTCTTTATTTTTTCTTATGGTTCTGGGAATCAAATCCATGGTCTCATACATTCTAGGTAAACATTGCATCCTGAGCTACATCCTTGGCTCTTAAGAGAGCCCTTTAGCTGAATCTAGAAATTGAATAAGGAAAACATTTTATAATTCTTAGACAAAGAATAATAAATTTGTAAAGGAGTGACAGGACAAATAGACCTCTGTAAATTCTAGGAATGTCATTAAGAGATATATAGGGGAGTATTGAAGTTAGTGGAGATAAAGGTTACTTCAAAGAATTTGCTGACTCTGCTGCAATGAATTACCCCAATTGCCAGTCTGGTGATCAAGGCTATGTTGTGAAGGACCTCTCTCCCAAAAGAATGAAGGAAAATGAAGTCAAATGACCCTTTCTGAAGTTACAGTTCCTCAAGTAATGTCAGATTGAAATGATCAATATGCCATTTGTCATATCCTAGAATGGCATGTCCTTAATTCCAATTGTTTACCTTTTTCTTATTGTAATTCAGTATATAAACATTAAGATATGTCAATGGTATGTTGGCATATCCTGAAACAGCATGTCCTTAACTCTAATTATTTACCTTTTTTTATTTTTGGGGGGGGGGGGGGGGTGGGCCTGAACTCTGGGCCTGGGCGCTGTCCCTCAGCTCTTCAGCTCAAGGCTAGTGCTCTACCACTTGAGCCACAGCGCCACTTCCTGCTTTTTTCTTTTTGTTTATGTGGTGCTGAGGAATCGAACCCAGGGCCTCATGCATGCAAGGCAAGCGCTCTACCACTGAGCCACCTTCCCAGCCCTATTTACCTTTTCTTTATTGTAATTTAGTACATAAATATTAAATTTTGTCAATTATATGTGTTGTAAATAAATTTTGTCAGGCTTTGGCTTATCTTTACAATTTCTCTGAAGTAATTTTTGGTAAACAGAAGTTCAAATTTTAGTATGACTGAATTCTATCATTTTTTTTTTTTTTTTTTTGGTTGGTTGTGGGGCTTGAACTTGTTCTTCAAGTTCTTTTAGGGACTGGGTGCTATCCTTGAGCTTTTCTGCTCAAGGCTAGTATAGTCTATCACTGTGAGTCACAGCTCCATTTCCAGTTTTGGGTGGTTAACTGGAGGTAAGAGTCTCACAGACTTTCCTGTCTGGGCTGGCTTTGAAATGCAATCCTCAGATCTCAGCCTATTGAGTAGCTAGGATTACAGGTGTGAGCTATCAGTGCCTGGCTCTATCATTCTTTTATGCTTTACTTTTTGTTTCTTATCCAATAAATATTTTTCAAACATTTCAAGAAGATTTTAAAAATTATCACTCAAAAATGTAAGAGCGTTATTTTTTCTATATTAGTATCAAACTGTCCTAGCATTAGTAATTGAATAGTCATTTTCTCCACTGATTTGCATTTAATTTGCCACCTCTATCATTTGTTAAAATTATATTTATGCCTGTGTGCTTTTGGACTTTCTATTCTGCTCCAACAATTTATCTTTATGCTTATGTCATTTGTTCCTACTTACTACAGCTTTATACTAAGGCTTCATTCCTGTAAGGCAATTGCCAATTTTCTTCTTTCAGAATGTTTTTCCATACCTATGTTCTTATCAGCTTGTCAAAAACCACTTACCAAAACTACTAGAATTATCACTGTTACTGCATTATAAGTATAGATAAGGGCTTACCAATTGAGACCTACAAATACACATTCCTAGTTGGGTAAGCACAATGTTTTGTAAAGATTTTCAATTTGAATGTTTGTAACAAGATGGAGACTTTATTTAGCCACAAACCCTGTCTCATTAACTATATACTATATTAACTTAGTTCATACTTTTCTTTTTTTGTTTGGTCCTGTAAGTTTTAATTTTTTTTACTCAGGGTTAGGTACCAGTGGCTCATGCCTATATTCCTAGCTACTCAGGAGGTTGAGATCTGAGGATTATGGTTTGAAGCTAGCCAGAGAAGGAAAGTTTGTGAAACTCTTATCTCTAACCACCAAAAAGCTGGAAGTAGAGTTGTGGCTCAAGTGGTACAGCGCTAGCCTTAAGCAAAAAAGCCTAGTGACAGTACCCAGACCCTGAGATGAAACCCCCAGACTGGCAAAAAAAAAAAAAAAAAAAAAATTACTCAGTCTTTTTCTAGACTCTTTCTTCCTAGGATTCTCTTGTTAGAGAACCAGAACTTTTCTAAAGATAGCTGACTGTTCAAATTTCCTATTTTCCATTCTGTAGAAAAAAAACAAACTCATGTATGTCTAACTCTATAATGTTGGCCATATCCAAAGAGAATTCTTTTCATTAATAGAGATTGCTTGAGGTATTTTCTCAAAAGAACAATTTTTTCTGTAAGGAATTTGAAAATTTTCTTAAGGTTATTTCTTAGAATCTAGGCAACTATTATTTTACAGTATGGTATCTAGTTTCTACCTAGGATAGGGAACTTTTCTTTCAAAAATTTAAATACTTGATCTACCTCCTTACTTACATAATTTATGAGACATGAAAAATAATTCTTACAGTCATTTCCTCTATAGGTAAAGTGCCCCTCAACTTCTTTTGAGACTTTCTGTTTTTTAAAATTTTCTGTAGTTGAACTCTAGCTATCCTAGATGAATTTCCTAGTGATTTTCCTAAGTTCTTTCTTTCTTTCTTTTTTTTTTTTATTCTGGGTCTGGGTGCTATTCTTCAGCTCTTCAGCTCAAGGCTAGCCCTCTACCGCTTGAGCCACGGCACCACTTCCAGCTTTTTTCTTTTTGCTTATGTGGTGCTGAGGAATTGAACCCAGGGCCTCATGCATGCAAGGCAAGCACTCTACCACTGAGCCACCTTCCCAGCCCCCTAAGTTCTTTCTATTGTTGAGTTTTCAGAAGTTTTTTAACTCCTGGGCTAGTCCACACTAAGATTCTCGTAGCTAGTCAATTATCCTTAAACTATTTCTTCTTTGCAGAGGCTCTTATTTTCTGGATCTGCCTGTCGCAAGCGTGCCTTGTGATCTGTTATCTGATATGTTTTAGGAGTTGTGGATTTTCCATTTTTCACCTTTATTTTTTCTGAGGACAGGAGTGATGATGTCCAAGTTACTTTCATGTCAAAGAGGTTAAACTACTTCTGAAAGAAATATTTTTGTACCTCTTTAATTATTAGCTTAGTGAACTTGGGTTAGGTCAGTGTTTTTAAAATTTTTGACATATATTACCAAAAAAACTGTATTAAAAAAGTGTAAACAGGGGCTCGGAAGGTGGCTCAGTGGTAGAATGCTTGCCTTGCATGCATGAGGCCCTGAGTTTGATTCCTCAGCACCACATAAACAAAAAAGCCAGAAGTGGTGCTGTGGCTCAAGTGGTAGAGCGCTAGCCTTGAGCTGAAGAGCTGAGGGACAGCACCCAGGCCCAGAGTCCCAGAGTTCAGGCCCCACGACTGGATCCCCTCCCTCCTCCCCAAAAAAGTTAGATTCATTTATTTGTGACAAGGTTTCATTAAGTAGTTCCAAGGTCAGCCTGAAACTATCCTGTTTCTCCCTCTTAGAGTTTTTTTAAAAATAAAACTAATAAATAATGAATTCAACTCACGTTCCATTTGATCAAACATTACTGAGAAGAGGAAGTCCCTTGGTGTCATATAATATTCTCCTTCATGTTCCAGTGAAGAAAACTGCATAAACCGCTGTTTACGAAGGCTCACTTTTTCTATTGCTTCACAGTCACTTTTCTGGAAAAAAAAAAAAGTAATTAAATGTTTTTCAGTATTCCTAAACTCAGCTATTTTCAGAATAGTCTCAAAAAGTAATTTTTATGTTATATCTGACAGCCCTTAAAGCTTAAATCACTTAGCAAATATTTGCTTAGTGACTACCTTCTGCCAGTAGGCACTGAGGTTACAGCATAAGACTGAGGGAAGTTAATTCCAGAGTGGGAGAGTAACAGTAAGTATATAAATTAATGTAAGACGGTGAGAAGTGCCACAAAAAATTCTTTAGGTCTGGAAAGAGAGAAACAATTAGTTGCCTTGTACACTTAAGAAAGGTATCTCAGAGCAGAAATATTTAACTGGAAATCAATAAATGAGCAGTTTTCCAAGACAGGGAACAATAGTTGTTTTTTTTTTTCAGTCATGGGGCTTGAACTCTGGGCCTGGGCGCTGTCCCTCAGATCTTCAGCCCAAGACTAGTGCTCTACCCCTTCAGCCACAGCGCCACTTCCAGCTTTTTCTGCTTATGTGGTGCTGAGGAATCACCCAGGGCCTCATGCATGCGAGGCAAGCACCTACCACTGAGTCACCTTCCCAGCCCCTGGGAACAATAGTTAAACAAACTATGCCAAGGTTAGTTCTAAGATCTGGGCAGTCAAATTCATGGTGTAGTCTTTAGGGGACATGACAAAAATGGAAGGAAGAGGAGAGCAGAACATCACCAAGGTTTTGACATCTGCTTTTGTTAATTTACTTAACAGCCATCAGATAGGTAAGACATGAAAGCCTAGATTGGAAATATGGAAATACCATGACTCAGCACACATTCCTGACCTACATATCAATCCAATAAACTTGGCTAGTTTTAAAACTCGAGTATATCAAAATGTTAAATTAAAAATGCTCATCTCTTCTGGTCTGAACATATTTTCTTTTTTTGTTGTTGTTGTTGTTGTTGTTGCTGATCCTGGGACTTGAATTAAGGGTCTGGTGCTGTCTCTGAGCTTTTTTTGCTCAGGGTTAGTGCTCTACCACTTGAGCCACAGCTCCACTTCTGGCTTTTGGGTAGATAATTGGAGATAGAAATTTCATAGACTTTCCTGGTAGGCTGGCTTTGAACCATGATCCTCAGATTTCAGCCTCCTGAGTAGCTTAAAACACTAGTGCCCAGCTCCTTCGCTCTTTCATCTGGAAGTTTATTATCTCCTGTCTTCTTGTGGGGTACAGAATTCAACATGAGCATTAAAATCCACAGATCCTTTCTAAACTGGAAATGGGATACATATAATACACTAAACTAAACTAGAAAAGGGTGAATGATTCCCTTGTTTCAGTCTGTTCATTACTAATAAGCAGCATACAGAAAACTTCAAGTCTAATAAGATAGCTCTGGTTTCTTTGAACGAAACACTGGAAAGGCAGTACAAATGATACAAGTGTCTTGTCACTGGGCCTCAGGATTAAAATCTCACAGGATTTTCCCCAAGGCTTAGATGGCTAAATTAGTAAACAGAAACCAAGTAAATAAACTTATAAGTGGTTATGATTTTTTCCTTTTTTCAATTAGTAGACATATAGACTTTGACTTTCTTTCTTTCTTTCCTTTTTTCTTTTTTTTTTTTTGGGTGGTCATGGGGTTTAACTCTGGGCCTAGGCACTGTCCCTCAGCATTTCAGCTCTACCTCTTGAGCCACATCGCCACTTCTGGTTTTGAGTGGTTTATTGGAGTTAAGAGTCTCACCGACTTTCCTGCCAGGGCTAGCTTTGAACCACAATCCTCAGATCTCAGCCTCCTGAATAGCTAGGATTACAGGTGTGAATCACCGGTGCCTGGAGATATACAGAATGTCTTGAAGTCTAGTTCAGCGATTTAACCCAGGTGTTATGGTACACACTTGTTATTCCAGCATTGGGAGGGTGAGGCAGGAGGATGGAGAGTTGAGGCCAGCCTGGTCTATTCAGTGAGACCCTATTTTAAATACCTCAAAAAAAGCCATCAAAGAAAATGAGCTACTTCTGTCTGCCTACACATGAGTGGGAGCAGCTAGCTGGGTAGGAAACTTCAAGTCACCTGCCTCAAGTCATTTTTTCCCAATTGTAATTGTTCTGTACAAGATGGAATCTTTTTGAGCCAGTTATAATGTGAGTCACCACATTTTCCACAGTGCTTGTTAATTCATCAGCTAATGAGGTCTGGTCCTCACTCCGCCTTTTTGTTTTCACTATTAGCCCTGAATGACATTTTCATTTAATTGTTTGCTTCCAAACGTAAGGGCTGTTCCTTGCTTTTCTAAAACATTAAAAAATACTTTTCTTTTGTGGTACTGGGGTTTGAACATAGGGCCTTTAATTGCTCAGAAAGTGCTTTACCACTTAAACCACTTCATCAACCCTTTTGTGTTGGTTATTTTCAAGATAGGGTCTCGTTTTGCTTCTAGGCAGGACTGGACTGTGATCCTCCTATTATGGTCCTTCCCTTTTCACTTGTAGTGACAGGTGTGTGTGACTAAGCCTAGTCACTGTGCTTCCCCCATAGCTTGGGATAATAGGCACATGTCTCTGCACCTATCCACTGGTTGAGATGGAATCTTGGACAACTTTTGCGCCCACATTGGCCTAAAACCATAATATCCTAATCTTTGCCTCCTAAATAGCTAGGATCACAGGTCTGAGCCACTGGATGCTGAATGTGTAGAGCCAGCACAAATGCAGGGTAACACACTAGTTTCACTTAAAAAAATTTTTTTTTCTTTGCTGGTCCTGGGACTTGAACTCAGGGCCTGGGTGCTGTCCCTCAACTTCTTTGTGTTCAAGGCTAGTGCTCTCCACTTGAGCCACAATGCTCCTTCTGGCTTTTTCTGAGTAGTTTATTGGAGATAAGAGTCTCACAGACTTTTCTGCCCGGGCTGGCTTTGAATCGTGATCCTCAGATCTCAGTCTCCTGACCAGCTAGGATTACAGGTATGAGCCACTGGCGGCCAGCCAGTAGAAATTCTTAATTGCCCACTTTACACAGAGTGTAATTCTTTATTTTTTACTTTGATGCTTACCCTTTTAAGATTTTGAGTCCAATTGAGTTAATACTTGTGAATATTTACATTTCTTAAAAAGAAAATATGAACCATTTGTAAAGTGTTTCTCTAACTATACCATGGGATAGTGCATCTTATCAACTTTTCCTCCGGTATACACTCATTATAAACTTTTGTAAATATTTTTTGGCTTTTGTTTTTGTGTTTTGTGCTAGGACTGGGGTTTGAACTCAGGGCTGCTTGCTCTCATTCTGCTTTTTGCTCATGGCTGGTGTTTTACCACTTAAGCCATGCTTCCAGTCCCAAATTTTCTATCAGTAAATCAGTAAATCATGGTAACCTTCATTATCAGCATGGGATGGTTCATTGTCTTCCTGAGCACAATGCATTTATGAGTGGATATCTCCAAATGTCTTTTAAAAAATGCCTATTTTGCACTAAAATATTCATTAACAGTAGAATGGATAGCACATAGCCTGACAGTGAGGTAGCACGGAAAATAATATAAAACAGACATGGTCTGAACCAATCAAAGTTCCCACCATTACTAACGTAGGGCCCCTAGCTATATTCATGAGATGATCTTCAGTCACTGAGGAACTATGTAGGGAATATTCTGCTCAAAATGTAGGAAAAAGTAAAATAATACAGTATAACAGTTCTAAATGTAAATCTTTCATAAGAAAAAAGTTTTCTTTTTTACAAAGATAATTTTAGTTATCTGGAAGATTCATGACATGGCATAATTCAGGCTCCACTGTCTGACTTACTGACATCCAAAGTACTTTGTAGAATGTGTGTGTCAGAAAAATAGCAGGACTATGTTTATATAGGCTGAAAATGATTAGAACTGTGAGTGAAAACAGAATGTCTTTCACAAAAAATACAAGGAGACATAGTTTGGCATTGTCATAAACACTGTTACATGTCAAATAAAATTAAAATACAAGATGCAAATGCTTTCATCTTCCCAATAATGTCAACATATGTTTTTAAAGAGCTCACCATTAGTTCATTCTTTAGTCATAATGAGGCATCACAGGAAAAGAATCTATGAATAACAATGTAATGTGCTCACACACAGATCTTCGGGTTTCAGGATGTCAAGAACAATGTGACGGTTATCATCTCCTAGGGTTAAGGCAATTGCTAACATAGATTAAAAAGTACCATAATACAAATTTTGAGCAATTTAGTTTGGATATAAATTTTGGCACCAGTTTTGCTACTCATGTATAACATTCTTTGAAGTGCTATGGATCGTTTCAAGGCTATTGAGAATACATTAGCCCTGAAGGAAATCAGAATCTAGCCCTGGAGGAGGTCGGAATCCCTAGGTACTTTAAAATCTGATGCACAAACCAAGCTTTAAGTTTTTCTGACTCTCTTTGGATTTTACTCTGAACTTACACGGGAAATATATGTGTAAATAAAATTGGAATAATTTTTTTTATGCTAGTTCCACTCCTCCCCCCCCCCCAAAGCATAATGAACCTTCCTAAAGTGAGGTAATTCTTTAAAAAGTCAATTTTCAAAAAATCTACAAATTTACTGACAGAGCAGTAAGTCAAAGCTTTTAAGAACCTTCTTGCCTCTCATCCAACCTGACAAAACCCCAACCCCAAAAGAACAAAGCAGCTATGCTAAGGCCTTAAACTTCAAATTTCTTGGAGAGGAACTTCTAGGTACTAAAAATCTGGACCCAACTGATAGACCACACCCAGGCTGCAAAACAGTTTGTTTTTCAAAAAGACGAGTGTGATGTAAGAATGCAAAGGTGGAACTCTGAGCTACCTCCCTGGCTTGGGGTGTACATAGCATAATTCACTATACTCACACTGTAGTGACATGACTGTCTTATAAAAAGCAGTAAAGTGCACCAAGAGGCTGTCATAAAAAAGCAGTAAAGTGCACCAAGGGGCTGTCATAAAAAAGGGTTATATGGGGCTGGGAATGTGGCTTAGTTATAGAGTGCTTGCTTAGTATGCA